AAATAAGGGATCTTCCATGTGCTCTCTCACAGTCACCAACCCTTTCTCCTCTGTAGCATCTTGCCTTCAAACTGCCACTCTCTGTCACTGCCAAAATACAGCTTATGGGCATTTGTAGCTTTTTTGACATAAATCCTCTTTCACTTCTCTCCATTGCTTTTCCTTACCCACACTGACAGATACAGAGCTTACAGGTGGGCTTTGTGTTTGCTTAGTGTTAGACTAATTTGCCAAGTCTCAAATTCAACCCAGTGGTCCTTACTGTTGTAATTCCCATGCATCCTTCCAGGCAACCCCACTCCTTAGGGCTTCAAACACTTGTAGACATTTATCCCTCTTTAGCTGTCATTAGGCCAAGTCATGCATATTCACATCTTTTAATCTTTTTTTTCTCACATCAGTTCCTTCAGTCTTTTAATCATTTGTGTTGCTCTTCTCTAAATTACCTCAAATTTGTCTACGCATCTCTGGTTCTCAGACACCATGAAGATGCTGTTTAGATAAATCTGCCTCTGAGGACTCAAGTTCATAAAAAGCTTGTTAAAGCCTTTATGGTGGAGACCTTTTGTATTGCTGCTGGTCACCATGATTTTAAAGGTTTGGAAAAAGGGCACATGATGGTATCCTTGCAGAGTGCAACGAAAGGTGGCTGTCATTCAGCTGAACCTCTTGTCCTTTATTCATCACTGCAGTGTCTGCCTTTCTTCTACCACTTCTCTGGGCAACTTCTTGAAATGTTTGCCTGCTCCTCATGTCTTGTCCCTCCTCAGGGTGAGAGGGAAGCCTCATGCAATGGGGACTCTTGCTTTGCCAGGTTTTCTGTTATTAATAAACATGGTAGTATGTTTTTTTATCTAGAGAAAACATACGACTTTGGACTTGGAAGAGAAAGTGGGAATGTTTCCAGTGAGCTTTGGTATGTCTATGGTTTGGACATGCAGCCAAATGCTATGCATCCAGCAATCCAGCAACTTCCCATCCTTCCCATCCCATGTGGATGTGGGGCACGAGTCTGAGAAGCTTTGGCAGTCGTCAGTACCTATGGACAGTGTGGCTCATTATCCACAGAATCCTCCCAACAGCCCTCATGGGAGGCATCCTTCCCTTCAGCTTACAGGGTAAGAAATGGGAGCAGAGAGGTGAAACAACCTGCCCAAGGCCATGCAGAGAGCTGGGGGATGTGCTCAGGTGAAGACTGTGTGGGACCTGGCAGAACTCCTTCCTTGTTTGGGCCGCTCAGACCATGCTAGTTTCAGACAGCAAAGCCTCCATTATGCAATATATTTTTTGCATGAGTTCGCTGGAGTTGTAATAAGCTTATCAAGGGGATAACTGTTAGAATAAACCCTGCAATCTCATCCATCAATCAGGAAGAGAAATAAATAGGAAAAAAGAGTAGATTCAGCTTGCCAGATGTGTCAGTCAGATGCAGGCTCTGCACTCAGTGACAGCAATCAGAAGGACTCCTGCAACCAGTGCTCGGTGTCCACTGGAAATTACCTACTAGACCTGACCTTACCTCTCAGACTGCTTTTTCTGGGCTGACCAGTTTTAAAATGCACTACCAGCAGCACTAAGCCAGCTTAATAAATGTTACCATATGAGCTGGGGCACTGCTCCAACACGCGAGGGGGATGCAATTATTTACCAAATCCTGGTATAACATGTGACTCTCTGAACTGCTTCTTTGTCTTACGCAGATGATCAGCAACCCTTAAAGCACTGCTGTTCTCTCTTTGTAACAAGGCTCAGGTGCTGTCTTTTGTAATGCCACAGAGTACTTTTATGAGCAGTGTTCATATGAGCACAATGTGCACAATTAAACATCAGCCAGAGCACAGCTTTTCAACTTGCCTTCCAAGAAAATCCTGTTTTCTTCCCTGTCACTGCCCTGCAGCCTAGTGGGAAAGAATTAACAAAAGCAGAAACAGCCAGACATCTGAAGAAAAGCTTTTAGAATGGCAGAGAAGAGCAGGTAGACAGCAAACAACGCCTTTCCAGGAGAACAGGAGGCTATGTTGAAAATCCCCCTCCCAGAGGCTTTCAGCAGGGCATCGGGCAGGAGGGGAGGCAGTGATGGATAAGTTGTTGAAAGAGCACAGAATGAGGCTGAGGTGGGGGAGCACAAGTGGTGAGATTTACTGTCCCCAGGCACTGCAGAGTGACACAAAGCCATTACAGCACAAGCAGTTCTGGAGGGCTGCAGCTGCCCTGGGGACAGAGGGGGGTGATTCAGAGAGAAGCTCCTCTGCAGGGATGTCTCTGCTGAGAGAGCCCCTGCCAGGCTTGCCAGGGAAGATGGACATGCAGGTGAGATGAAGAGCACAGTCCTTTCCCTGTTTGTGCCAGACCTCCACCTTTGGGACAATCACCAATGCAGGACTTGGAAGAAGCTGACAAAGAGACATTTTAGTTACCTGCATTGGAGCTATTGTGAATAAAATTGTGACAATAGAGCCTGAACTGTCAAGGTAAAGGGACATGGGGAACCTATGGAGAAAGGGGCTCTAGAAACCCATGCCTGGAAGGATTTAACTGCCAGCACAACTTCTGGGAGTGAGAGATAAAACCAGACTGGGTCACCTGTGGAGTGCAGTAGAGCTGGAGCGATGTCTTGGGACTGCTGCAATTCATGGCTAACATCAACCCTCCCAAGACACCCCAACAGTCCTGGTGTCCTCCACCCCGAAGAGTCTAAAGGCAGCTCATAGAATCTATCTCCACTGTGAAAAAAATATCCATGCACAGCTCCTGCAGGAAGGTTCATCCTGTGTTCAGTATTGCCATGGCTGCCCAGTTCTCCAAAGCTCTGAGCAGCCCGTGCACCTCACAGGAGCTTGGGCAGTTCTTGGCATGGTGGGCCATGCTGCACACCATGTACAAATTTTTATTCATCATCATCTTCACTAGAAGTAATATTATTTAGGGCTATCTTCCCTCCTATCCATCATGGAAGCTACTTGTTCCCAGGGTCTGAAAATGCAGAAGTCATTACTGTAAAGATGGTACTTTTCATGGTAAGTGTGAGCTCCTACTTTTAAAAAATAAGTACCTATTTAACTAAGAGCTTTATAATAGATCAAGCAGCACACAGAGTACTAAGAAAAGTGAGAGCTACTATTTAAATAAACTAGCTTAGTGGTAGGACTGGGCAGGAAAATAGTTTTTTCTTGGTATCTTTAATAGTAATTTATTCAAAACCCTTATCTCTAGATAAATACAAATTAAAAATTAAAAGTTCCTGTAAAGTAATGCATGAAACTAAAGCACCACAGAGAAATTTGGAGAAGCAAACAGAACTGCCATCATAAACTACAAAAAGCACTGCAGAACCAGGACAGAGGGCAAGGAAACTTGGGAATAAAAAAAACCCAGAAAAGCAACACAAGTGCAACACGAAAGGAAGAGGGGGGGGGATGGCGGTGGTGGCAGCAAGAAAAACCACCACTTAAAAAAACAAACTCCCAACATTGCCTCAGCAGGATGCAGAAGGAAATATTTAAAACCACAATTTTGAGAACATAACCCAGACTGTCTGGTGAGTGACACCTTCTGTTGGCACCAGGCAAACAGGCTCTTGCTGCAAGGTTCCCAAACTCAGGCCCCTGGGAACAGTCCCTGAGGTCACGTTAAGTTTGGAGTGGCACAGAGCCATCAAACTTGCAGCACTCAGGGAAATACTCTGTAAACCAGCATGTTTATCAAGGCCAGCATGCATTTCAGTGAGTCCATGGTACTGTGTGAATGTTTTAGGCAATAATAATGTTGGGCAATGCTAAATGGCACTGTTGGCCCATGGAGGGGGTGCTCAGAGCAGGGCAGAGCCATAGCCCAGGACTGTCCTGCTGAGCCACAGCTCCTGGGCACACAGGGCAGCAGTGAGATCTGGGGCTGCGGGCTCTGGCAGGACCAGGAGCTCAGCTGGTGAAGCAGCACAGGCAGCAAGGCTTGGCCTGGCATGCAGTACCCCACTGTCCTTAATGCCCTTATCCAGCAGCCTGGGGAGAGCAGGAATTACTATTTATCCCACTTTAGAGGTGAGATGTGGATGTGCAGCTGCTCTGGATCACATCCAATGACACATTTAACATCCAACTGCATGTTTAGGTGCTTGAATTCACATTTCAGTCAAGAAGGTACAGATTGTCATGATGTCATGTGCCATCAGCAACATGGCCAAGCGCCTCCCTGAGATACAGTGGTGTCCATGAGCAACTGTCCACCTAAAGACAGCCAGAACTGTGACTGGGGGTCAGCAGAAACAATTCTGGCCTCTAAAGAAGAGGAAAACCTTATGGGGTCTGTGTAGAGAACTGGCCTTCAAATGGAGAGGTTTGGGGTTCAGACCACAGAGTTGACTCAAGGCAAGTAGAAGGTTTTTAGATATCACCAGGGTTGACTTCTGCTCCCAAGGAAAATCCCCAGCCTCCAGTCACTGTTTCTAGCATTATCTCGAGACAGTGCCAAGAAAGTTACAGACTCAGTTTCTTTAGACAAGAGCAGACTGCATAATTCATATGGTTGGGGAAAGGCTAACTCTAATAAATACATAAAACCCAAGGGATTATCTAAGCAGCCAATAAAGATACAAAATCTTTTTTTTATGAACTGGAGTTATACTCATTCAGTATGTGGCATCAAAAGAAATACAGATTTTCTGACAGATTTTTTATTTCCTGCTGTTACTAAAATGCATCCCTTTAAAGCAGCATCTCACAAAACTGTAATTCTTCTCAATTTATCTCTGACTGAGCCTACAGTCAACAACTTTGTACCATGCATGTCACAAATGAGATTTTCATTCTAAATGATCAGATGTAGGGATCAGATTTTGAAATTACATACATTTTGTGCATAGCCTGCATTCCCTTTGTCTTTTATTTTTATCTGAACTGCCCACCCCATCTCCCACATGGTTAAAATTGCATGAAGATGGTTTCTATTCTAAAAGAAACATTAATGGGAACAGAGCAGAGTGAGGCTGCTGAGATTATTTTTACCTGAGCTCTGATGGCGGCGTCCTTCTTAATCCACTTTATCACTGTTTCATACACCAGCTCCTCTGCTTTGGTGTTTAGGCTGTCATTGGACATGTAGGAAATGAAGTCGTCTTTGGAGATATTAAGGATCTCTTCTTGGTTTGCCACCTCTGGGAAAATTTGCAGGGCATAAGCTTTGGCCATGTTGTATAGTTCAGTGCACTGCATGGCTTCAGCCATGGCTAATATTCCTAAGCAGTTGCTAGCAGTCAGCTGTTTTTCTAAAAAGGGCAAAAAACAAACAAAAAAGGCAATTGAGAATTATTAAAAGCAAGATTCAGATTTCTTCCAAGATCATGAGAAAAATAAGTGTCATGGACAAACCTCCAACCCTAATTAATTGCAGGGTGTTAACTAGAAGCAGCACCCTGGGTTAATTTGGAATTGGGGTACAAAAATTGAGTTGGAGATGGGGAGAGAAATGTACTTTCTGAGTTTTCTTTTTGTGTAAGCCTCCACAAAGCACTGGGGAAACCTACTGACATAACTATCTGGGGCTTCCCAAGGGATGGGAACCCAGCCAAGAGACTGCTGCTGTTCCTACCACCTACAACGTTGCTTTAAGGAACAGCAAAGATGTAAACGCCAGTGCAGACACTTAAGAATAAATGCAAACAGCACTAAGGACATTTCTGAGAATGCTGCAGTCACTTTATGATAATTTTTGCCCTGTTCAGCTACTAAGCTACTTCAAAAACAAAACAAAAAAAAATCCTCCCCGCTCTTTTTTTTTTCAAAGGAACTTTGTTGCTGCTGAATGTGATGACATCCCTTATGCAAAACACAGATTATACTAACGCCTTCTGTTAAACGTTGTATAGTGGGTTTCAAAGAAAATCATGCACAGAGGAGACAGCATTATCTCCTTCCCAGCAAACAGAAGCAGCAGCACAGTGTGCAGCTTTGTGTTAGAAGTGTGCTACACCATACATTTGACTGTACTTTTTTTCCTTTCCAGCTATTTTGAAGAAAAACCCACCAATTTTAGACATTTATAAGAGGAACTCTCAGATTCTTTTCAGCTTTTGTTAACCAAGCCACTACTAATAAGAAGAATATATTATTTTAAGATACAGAACTGAAAAAGAAAAAAATAATAAGAGCGAGAACTGCAACAGATCACAAAGGCATCGGTACCAGTGGCAGGCTCCTGTGCTGTCAGAGAAATCTGTCACATTTGGCAGTGTCACATCCTAGTGCACTATGACAGAGCCCTGGACAGGAATGTGCAATAGCCCCATATCTCTTCAAACAAAACTCTCATCAGATTGCTTCTGCTGGAAATGCTCAGGGATTCTTCCCTACACCCAGCCTCTGCCTTCATCAGATTGAAAACATGCACACTATCTATATGTGGCTTTCAATAAAACGGGATTATGAACCATTTTTTTCCTATTTTTTTTTTTAACCTGACATGAGATTAGGAGTTTTGTGGGTTTGTTTTGCTTTCTTCTCCTCCCAACTCTTTTTATTTTCTTTTACAGATCCGGTAGTCTCAAAACTAGGTTATCTTATTTTGCATCAGTTGATTGTACTGACTCCAAGGAGCCCATTTCCTCAAGCTGATGCAGCAGTGGCACTGTTTGCTGTCAGTGGACTTTGTCACTTAAAGACTGCCCAGAGATGGGTTGTAAACTATCTACAAAGCCCAAAGCTACCAACGTTTTTTCTTGTGGGGGAAAAAAAAAAGGGGGAAGGGGGAAGGGGGAAGGGGGAAGGGGGAAGGGGGAAGGGGGAAGGGAAGGAAAGGGAAAGGGAAAGGGAAAGGGAAAGGGAAAGGGAAAGGGAAAGGGAAAGGGAAAGGGAAAGGGAAAAAAAAAAAAAACAAACAAGCCCAAAGCACAAAAAACCCCAAAAGACCAAAAACATCTTCCAGATTCCTTGCTTCTATCTACTGGCACAGTTTCATGGTATACATATGGCTTGGGGTAAAGTAATCATCTAACAGAGCCCAAAACTCTTATAATTTCTTGGCAAACTCTCAGGCCAAAGGCCAATCTGCCACTGTTCCACCTTATCCTCACAGAGTTAATAATGAAGGGAATAATCAATTTTGACTCATTAAGCAGCACATGATGGTGAAGACTTTCAAGAGTCTCTCTCTTCAGAGGACTGGTTTTGCCTCTATCAGGATAGATCCCCACACCATTTCCAGCTGAATTTGTGGTGTGCAGTAGAAAAAACACTGCTCGCAATTGATTTCTTCTGATCTCTAGCTTCTCTAGCTCTAACAACACTGGGTGACTGATGCAGCCTGGTACACTGGTCCAAGCAGGTCCATCTTGGCCCTTGGATCTTTACTCCCTCCTCTTCCCTGAGAAGCTCCTTGGTAGCAGATTCCATGATGTCCCTGTCTGGTTCAGGAGCTATTGTGAGGCCCCATGGAGAGGGATCCCAGGGAGATGTGGGACTAGGGGATGTGCAGGGGGCTGGTGACAGACTTCTCTGCACTTCACTTCTGTGTGATGAGGGCCACAGTAATCTGGGCACAGCAACATCTCTTTAATATGAGGACTGGCATGTGAACTAGAGGGATTCACTGCTGGTGAGAAAGACTGACCTTGGGACAAGAGCTGTAGGCAATATGAAAAATCTCTATCCTATAGAGATATAAAGACACCACCTCGTCCCCCATTTTTCAGCTGACTCAAAATTTGGCAGCAAGACTCACTGTCTCTCAACTTCAGCTGTCTGTGGTGCAACTCTGCATTCACATTAATATCCCTGCACACCCATAAACAAGCAATTCCAAATAGCAATCTGGTCATATTCTGGATTAATCTGGTATTTTGGATGACAACTCCAGAGTGAGTAGAACCTGCCTTACCAATGTTACTCTTCACTGGCTATAAAGGGAGTCTGCATGACTACTTAATAGACTTCTGCTAAATAATTACAACTCATCCCAAATGACTGCAATCCAGGGGTACTTGTCAATGCTGGCATGACAAAGACAGCTAAGGAACAGTTCTGCTCTGTCTCCTCCTGAGCTGTGTTCCTTTGGACACTGGCATGTTTACAATAATTGTTGTTTTGCCACAGTGACACTGGGCTTGTAACAACACAGTTTTTTTGAAGTTTCACCTTGTCTCTGTTCAGAACACAAATGCTGACTGCTAAGCTATTCCTAATGCTCGGGTATAGTTTATAACAGACTCATGAGTGGACTTTTGGGATATCAGATGCAATCCAGTAGGTTCTCTCTGATTCGAGACAGTTCTGGATAGCATATTTGTTGCTAAGTGTGTCACAATAATGCAGATCAGCAGCTGGTATTTTCCACTGTGTTAGATGTGGCTTTGGAGCAGGATCCCGTGCAGCATCATCAGGAGACAATTAGCCAGGCAGACTGCTCCATCTGCACTTCTGGGAGGGGGAGACTTGAGATAACACCACAGATAAACAGTTTGCAGGAAGAATTACTCAGTGAGATTGTGGTAACAGTACAATTGAAGCTCAGTGGTGGTTGTTCCTCTTGTGTGCATTAAGCATTTGTGTGTTCTAGATGATGATTTGGATATCACTAAAAACAGCACAAAATGGGGACATCCTTGTGATCCTCTGTGTACATTCTGATGGGAAACTTACTTCTCAGGTATTCCTACTAGAGTAAAAAAGCATGTGAAGATGGGGGATAGGTGGAAGACTATCAGATGCATTCACTGTCTAATGAATTGTCCAAAAGATTTCTCTTCCCTGTGAGAGTCATCTTCCTTCCTCCTACCTCCAGATATAGTTGAAGTTGATACATAGTTGATATGAAGTGCATATATTAGGGTTTCTCCAGGGCTAGGCAATGCAGTTCTCTGGCTGGATCAAAATTCTCCACCTTGGATGAATAAAAAAAATTGCCCGTAATACTTTCTCTTGAATCCATAAGGACCATAAAGGCCTCTTCTTTCCTCAGGTGCCTGAGGAATGCAGGTCTCTTCACTGATCCATCGTTCAGTTTTTCTCATTGCTTCCTCTAATACTCTTTCCAAACATTGATTTTGTGCTCTTTACTCAGGAGACTAAGAAAATTCAGAGCTCCTACTCTTTCCTAACCTGGTCCATGAACCTACCAGGTTCCACCAGCTTCTTTAGGCTTAAGGATGAATACTTTTACTTTATCAGCAGCAGGCTGAAGTACAAGCTCAGAATGGAGGAAATACCTACAACATCCTGACCAGATTGCAAACATTTACCCAGTTATCATATGGTGCCTGTGTGAACCTGTCACCATCGCCGCATCAGTCAGCACAAAACTGTTCTCATTTCTCATGGTCTAGACAAATTATCCCAGGGAAGCTGGTTAAGAAATCTCCCATTGAAATGAAACTACTTCCCTGACACATTTTGCCACATCTTTTCACCAAAAAGTGCAAGAAAATTTGGGGTGCCTCTGCCCAAGGCTGCTGAGGGGCCCAGGATAGAGACACAAAAGATGCTTGGACATCACCACACTGGAATCCTCCTGGATCTGCATGGCTGTAAAAGGATGACCCGAATTCCCCTTAAGATTGTGCTGTGCTATGCTGAACAGACTTAGTAATTTGGGACTTCTACTACTTTGAACTTCCCTTCTCTCCCTATTTAGACATGGACTGATAGGAAAAATTCACTGTTTACACTGGTCAAGCCTCCAGAAACCCTGCAGGAAAAAAACACCCTGATTTTTACCATATTTTTGCTTTGTACAGCACAGAGGTGGCTGAGGTGAAAAATAAAAACACAGCCACAGAGAAGACAAAATGCTTTGCCCTAAACTTTTCAGATGGCAAATGCTCTGCTGTCTCTGTAGCGCAATCAAGTCACAGCTATAAATAAAAATAAGCAATTACACTCTGTGAATTCTCCAAATGAGAATACAAAGTTCCAGTGACTCTCCATATATCATTGAACTTATAACCAACTCTACTATTTCACACCATAACGGTTCACTGAATTAAAATATTAACTATCAGAAAAGAGAACTCTCACAGTGATTCAGTGAAATAAATGTATTTTGGTTTTTTTGCTCAATCTTCAGTGATTTCACAACTTAAACACATCCTGTATTTCTGGAAAGACTGTAAGATCTAATCATTGTAAAAAGCTGGTAAAGGGAAGCTGGAGCAAGCAATGCCAGAGCCAGAGCCTCATTCAAACTGGACAGTCCATGGTGAGATTGGAAATCATAAATTTCACATCACCAGTACCCCCTCCATTTGAGAACAGACTTTGAAATAAGGGACATATAAAAAGGAATCTCTGGCATTAAAAAAAATGCCAGAGATTCCTTACTGCTGCCTGCATTGTACCAGCCTAGTCACACCACTCATCTTGCCAGCAGGCTGGCTTAGCAGTGAAAATTAACACAGCAGTAAACTGGACTTGTTTGAGGGTTTTTTTGTTGTTCTTGTTTTTTGAGAGTAACATTTTCCGAAGTCTCATCTTCCACATTCTGCAATAGTAGATGTCAATTTCAAATGAGAACTGCCCAGGGAAAACCTACAATTTATTTGGGCTTCAGAGAGAAGGATGCCTCTCACAACAAGATGGAAGTTGAGGAAGCCCAAGCAGAAATCAGATGTCAAAAAAGGTTATCTGTTACTTATACTTGGGAAGTACATCATATAACATCAATTTTTCGGAATTAATAAATTTATGTTACCTTTTTAATTATTACTGTCTTATTTACTGATATTACAGCTATGACAGTGAAGGAATGGCTTGTGGTACAGGCAGGAATTTAAACCACCATGTTTCAGTTGAGCTCCAGTTGTGGCTCATCTTCTGCTGTGCCGGGTCTGTCTGGCTCCTGTTCTGGCCAGTAAAGCTTAGCTGAGCTGGAAATCTTGGACTGTTTTGAAATACCCTCTGCTGGAAAGCAGAGGGAAAGTGGAAGGAGTAGGATGACATGGTGCTTCTGGCAAGAAGAATGGATTTCTCGTGGCCATGAGAGGATGGACTGAGGCACTGGCAAAGATGTTGCTCTGCAGACCCTCACTGAGACAAATGCTCCCTGTGCACACAGGGCACACCAGTTACCAGGGGTGGGCACAGCAACCTTTCCTTCTACCCACCTTTGTCAGGACATTAGGCCATAGCTCTGTATGTAGCAACAAACCCCAGGAACATTCAATCTGGAACACTGGACATGTAAAGAATGACTTTCTCACAAATGCAAAGAAAATTGCAGCTATTGCAATGGAGTCCTTAATTTTTTGGCAGATTTGCAGTTCTTACTTCATTGGAGCCCACCTCCAAACTCTTTTCATATTTGACCAAGCTGACCTGGTGTAGAACCCAAAACATGCTGTCACAGTTGTAAGTAACCCCTGTGTTACAGCCTGGTATCTACGCAGAGATCATTCTCTGGGAAACAAAATGTCATCAAGATTCCAAGAGTGGAACAGGATTCAAAAAAAATAGGTTATACAAGTTGTGAAAGCTGTTGCCACTCAAGCAACAAACTACACTTCTCTAGACCATTTTCCATTGGCCATCATGTCAGCATTGGAAATTCAAATCACAAACCAAATCAATGTTGCTTTCCTTTATTTTACTCTATTTCATCTTGGGTTTCTTCATTATCTTTCAAGAGCTGTTCAAAGACAGGTTTATAAACCTTAGCATAACATTTTTAAACCTCACTAGATGCAATGATTCTTACCTAGAAATGAAACGCAGACTTTACAGAAAGTATGAAACTGGAACTTGCTGGCAGCTTCCAGTAGTGTTTTTGCATTGGCTGAATCTATGATCAAAGAACCTGTATAAACAAACTCCAGGAGTAACTCCAGGACATCCGCAGTGAGGTTGGACATGGCCAGTTCCAGCTTCTCCCCACTTCTGCTGCTGTCTCGTGGTGACCTGGTAACAGCAGACAATTAAATTATGGACATTACACCATCCCCATTTTATTGGCATTTATTGATTAGTGAGGGCTAGAAAATCGCTTTGCACCTCATTATATTTCTCCATTATTTTTGTTTACGGAACTGAAGAATATGGATTTTAAAACAACTGAACTTAAAAACTTTAACTGGATCTGAAAGAGAAGAGTCTTAAAGCAAGTCTTACACAAATCTTTATTGCTACTTTGCATTTTCATGCAAAAACAGTTGCAAAAGAAAAGGAAAGAAGGAAAGGAAAGGAAAGGAAAGGAAAGGAAAGGAAAGGAAAGGAAAGGAAAGGAAAGGAAAGGAAAGGAAAGGAAAGGAAAGGAAAGGAAAGGAAAGGAAAGGAAAGGAAAGGAAAGGAAGGAAAGGAAAGGAAAGGAAAGGAAAGGAAAGGAAAGGAAAGGAAAGGAAAGGAAAGGAAAGGAAAGGAAAGGAAAGGAAAGGAAAGGAAAGGAAAGGAAAGGAAAGGAAAGGAAAGGAAAGGAAAGGAAAGGAAAGGAAAGGAAAGGAAAGGAAAGGAAAGGAAAGGAAAGGAAAGGAAAGGAAAGGAAAGGAAAGGAAAGGAAAGGAAAGGAAAGGAAAGGAAAGGAAAGGAAAGGAAAGGAAAGGAAAGGAAAGGAAAGGAAAGGAAGGAAAGGAAAGGAAAGGAAAGGAAAGGAAAGGAAAGGAAAGGAAAGGAAAGGAAAGGAAAGGAAAGGAAAGGAGAAAGGAAAGGAAAAAGGAAAGGAAAGGAAAGGAAAAAGGAAAATGAATGATTCAACATTAATGAAAATGAGGAACAGGATTAGCTTTCAAAGGGAAACAATACATTTTAACAACTTGCTTAACATCTCATCTTTTGTGCACAATATAACTGTTAAGGAAAAATGACTCTCCAATTTCAAGAGAAAAGGTCATCTACTTTTTCAAGAATCCAGCACTAGAATAATTTTAGATGTCATGTGCACTTAAGCATACATTTAAAGACCTTTTCATAAAAAATAGTAATAACAATTACTGATTTCTATTTAGCTTGAACTTCTCTGAATGTTATATTAAATTACAGATATGATCAATATGATATCTATGGTACACAGATGGTCATATAAAATATAATATATGCTTATTCTAAAAAATCTATTGTTCCCTTTTAGGCACTAAAAAAAGGAAGCCCTTCATGGCAATTGCTTTGAAAACTGAATACAAGACAAGCTAGACAGACAAAATGGTTAGAGCAAAGAAGGGAGTGGGGGGAAAACAACAACCAGCTCTGCCACAGGAAGCCAGCAGCCATCCTCTAGGAGTTTCATGACTGTGGCCTATGGTTTTTCCTGCATGAAGTGCTGAACAATTTGGGATCAAAGTATCGCCTGCATTTGAAGTGTGCATTAGTGCTTGTGAAATTATTGGACAAAAAGAAAGTCATACTGAATTATAAAGTAAGGGCCCAGTTCTTAATGCATGGCTGATGTGTCTGCAACACTTAAGACAGGTTACACCTGAAAGACAAAAGTGATGATAAATTTGGTAACATCAAGGAGGGGAGGGGAAATCTGTTGGAGTAAGAAAATAAACTCTTTTAATAGTTAGGACCATCCAGCACCTTCTCAAAGAAACATGAGCTTTTTGTTTGTCACTGGACAGTCAACGTCTGCTCGCTCCAGTTCTGCTCGAGTATTGCAAAAGCCATCGCACAAGTGACACAAAACCGGCACACAATGCAGCGCGACAGATACGGACTGGCCACAGCATCACTACTCACAGGCAACGCCAGCTTGAAGCATGAGCAAAGACTACCACGAGCACTACCAATCTCTTGGGTTCACACAGCTGCCTAGAAAGGTGATGGTCAGACCTCTACTACCATTACAGAGGAAAAATAAACAACACACAAGGTTCAGTTTTTTTCCCGCATGACACCCCAACCACCCATCCCAACAACACCTGAAGTCATTTGGGGAAATGCTTAAAATTTGCAGTGGATGCTTTGTCACTGGTCCTTCATTAACCAGCCCTGGACAAGTCAAGGGCACAGCTTTAGTTCATATGAATCTCTGATGGATCAAAACTTTAAAGAGGTTTCATTTTTAATGGAGGAGCAGATAGCAGTCTCCAATTTCTTGGACTTCTCTAAGGTATAATGAACAATGGTTACTCCCATTCACAGGAGGAAACTGAAGCACAAGGAGACAAGATTACTTGCCTATGATCACAGAGAGTCAGGAGTAAACCAAGGAATTAAACAACATTTTTAAAATTCTAAATACTCAACTGTCCCTTTTAGCGGCAACACAGATGGGTTAGATCCTATTCTACAAGTAGATGCTAAGAACACATACTGATCATGGTTACTGTTGTAACCCTACAAGGACAGAATTCTATAAGGTCTAAATCCTTGTGCTTTATCACACCACAGTATTCTTTCTGAACTCTTGCATACGGATTCAATTCTGCATCTGATGTAGAAATCCACTGGTGGCAAACAGAGGAGTTGCCATTTCCTAGATCCTCAAGAGGATGTCTCAAAATGTTGGGTTTTTTCCTTTCTCACACTCACACCCCAATGATAATGCCCCATATCTGATTTATCTCCAGTTCACATACATCTGGTGCTGCACTCTGGGCTGTCAAAGACCTCTTGGTACCGATGTAATTCTTGCTGAACTGCTCCCAGAAGTGGTTTGTACCTGACAGTGAGCTCGTTTTCACGTGGGCTGGTTAATAAACACACCACCTAAAATTTCAGGGAGGTTTGGAGGTACCCAGCAAGCAAGAGTCAGGCTCTGCAGTGTAGGACTACCATAAGCAATTATTTATTTAATGCCACTACTTGCACTGTGCTGGCGACAGCTGTGGGAAGGACTGTGTGTGACCCACTGGGAATCGCACAATCGCACCCAGTGCGGAGACCAGGAGCACAAAGAAAGGATGATGTGACACCAATGTCAGTGCAGACACATACCCATACTAGCAACAACTGCAAGCTGCTATTTTTCACAATAATTAAGTAATAATCTCTTTTACTTTGTAATACACGGAGCAATAAACTGCTGCTGCAATTGATTAAATGCCAAAGAAAAGCTAAGGTGTTTAATCAATCACTAGAGCCACTTACGGCAAGTATAATACAAAGCTACAGAGATTATTGATATTACACAATGAGCCAGAAATGGGAAAGAAAATTATCCCTATTCCTGCCTGTGCAATGCCTTTAATGTGTTGTGCTGTTTTCCTTGTGCTTTCTAAGCAGTGAGATGTTTGGCTCCATGTTTTACTGGATCAAATACCAAGTACAGGCAGGATTCAGCCTGCACAGGGAAATCACAGCTACCCCAGCTTCCATGCCAGGGGTCTGGCTTGGTAGAGGATGGAGAACAGGCAGGGAATTGGCTGAAGCAGGTCCTAATGGATCAAACATTAAGTGTCTGAAGGATAGAAGAATGTAATGTCAGGGAACAGACTGATGTCACTGAAAAGGGAAATTCCATAGACTTCTTTATGAAATTATTTCAGTGAATCAGGTTGTAACATTCCCCTCAAAGCCTGAATAAAGGTTTCTGTGTTCCTTGTTTTCACTAATCTTAGAATATCATATGCCCTGTGCAGTTAGAATTCATCTTTTTGGGACAAAGTCTTCTCTTGGCTCCTCTAGAGGAACTGCAATGAAGTGGCTAAAGCCGTATTACAAGAATAGAATTTAGTCCTGTAACTGCAAATGCAGTGGATCTGGGAAAATCTGTAGCAATATATAGAGCTGTTCCCCAAATAGCTCATCCTGTATCACAACAGGAGGAGTTTTGTTGGTGACATCAGTAAATGCAAACATTTAGAGAAGCCTGTTACCAGAAAAGCCCTGACTTGCTGCCTTAAGAGCTAGGAAAAGTCAGAGTTCTACCTGGTACATACACTCCTGATCCCCAACTCCTGACACAAACATGAGGTGTTTTGGGGATTGAGAGCCTGCCTCCTTCATGTTTCAGTCTCACTTGAAGCCAGTCAACACACCCTTATCGTCCATGGACATCATTAAATGTGGCACATTCTGCTATTTGCCTGGCGAACTCTAAAGTTTAAACAGAATGATGTCATTTTATTGGCCTTGTAATCATTGCTCATATTATAAAGGTCACACATTTCACATTGTGGCAGAAAATCAATAGCTCTCCCAACAGCCTCTGGGGAAAAAAGTTTTGCTTCTGAAGAATAATATATAATAAACAATTTTAGTCCTTACTTTATCATGGCTATAATCTTAGAGAAAAGCTACAGTAAAAATCTGGCAAAGGCTGATATATAAACTCATTAAAATTGGGAAGTGATTTAGAACAGGACTTTAAAAAATATTTATCTTGAGCTAAACAGCAAAGAGATTTGTTTAGGTCTACATTTAAACAAGCTCCAAGAGCTCTTTAACAGCTTAATTTTATGGTAGCTGTTGGGGAATTCTTTCAGATTTACGAATCATGTATTTCTCCAGCAAGGTGATAGACCTGAGCAATGTGCAAGCAGAACTGAACCTGCAGATAAGCAGGAAGCACAGATATACTCTGAATGGGTAAGGGGGGAGTTACTGAAAAATATTCTGATTGTCTGGAATAATTAAATCCAACAAAATCAAGCGAATGCCTTTGAACATAGTTTGGCTGCTTATCCTTCAACTAAATTGCTTCAAGCAGAGAAGACAAAGGCACAGGGAACCCTTCAAAGCAAAAGATGGCTCGATTACACTCTCAAATAACAATCAGAATCAGTGTCCCTTTCTGTTAACTAATATATAGGAAAGAGCAAAAATGTTTAAATACCTGATAGCAAGAAAAATAACCCTAATACTTCACCTGCAAGATCTAGTAGTGGAACTGACAAAATAAAAATTAGAGAAATCTACATTTTTTGCTATTTATTTGTCCTTGAAACTAATTTCCAAACATGTAATGTACACATACAAGAATCAGCCATAGTGCTTTCATGTTTAATATTGATGCAACTGAATTT